AATTGTGAACTGGACAGGAATTAATAATCAGGTAAAAAATGTAGAATAAAATTTCTCCATTTAAGATCTCAAGAAAACAGATTTTAAATGTTTAGTTTAAGAATTTGCATTTTAACCTGAGAATTTATATTTCATATAAATTTTCCAATTGAATTTTCTCGAAAACGAAGCGTTTTGCAAAATAAAGTCTATTTCTTCTTCTAAGTTTAATTTAAATACAAGTTGATAAATCTTCGAGCTTGACTTCGTCAAAAACAAAGCTTTATGCTTTTAACTTTTTTCGTATATATTTAACATTTATTGTCTAATCTGTCTTTTTTAACACACTGACACAAATGGCTATCGTTGCCATACATGTTCTTGCTAAAATAATAGAAACACATTTGCTCGCACGTATGCATATATTTTCAACAGATAATGGCATTGTATTTTTTTTTTTTTTTTTTTTTTTTTAATTGTCGTATCAGCTCAGAAATGTAAGATAATATCTTCTAGAAAACAAGGTATGCGTCAATTAGTTAATATTACAGTCATGAAATGCAATGATCAGAGATACATTTGACATCTTCTTCCAGCCAGAGTTCACAAAATTCTTCAAATTCTCCAAGCCAGAATTAAACAATTGTACAGAATTGAAAAACTGGGACATTTTCAACATTATCATTAATTTAACATGTCCCGATGGGTTAACAATTTTACCGAATTTGGTTCTTATGGGATTTGAATGTTCAGAAAATTTTCAGCGGACTCTGTTTCGGTCGTTGTTATTTATTTTTAATTACAGTGATGGAAGTTGGAACGATCGTATCGTCTACCTAAGAATGGAATGCGAGTTGAACGACAACGGAATGCAGTTCTGCTTTCTCAAGGCCCCGTGGGATGAATCTAACGACAGTCTCCGGTCCAAAGTCGTGTTTCTTGAAGAAAAACCTGGCCAACCAACTCGGAGCACACTCATATAAGAAAATAAAAAAAAAATGCTATAGTATTTTTCTATAGTATTTCTATATTTCTATATATTTCTATAGTATTTTTATTCTATAGTATAGTATAGTATTTCTATATTTCTATATATTTCTATAGTATTTTTCTAGCAAATATTCTCTCAAATTGTACATTGCTTCATTACAATATAAATTAACTTTGATAGAAACGATTTTGAAAAAGTTTAAATAAATCTTTGAAGGGATTGAAAACGTTTTAAAATTTTCGAATTTTAGTTTTTTTGGTTCTAAAATTTGTTCGATAAATTTCGTCTTTGGCACTGATAATTTGCCTCCACTTAAAATGTCATTAAAAAAAAGATCGTTTTTTTTCTTTTAAAGAGAATTTCTTGCTTCAACTCTTAATTGTTAGTGTCAGAATTTTCGATTTGAGCAAATTTCACTACTTGAAAAAAGTGTCGAATTTTTATTATCAATTTCTACCACATCAAAACGCAAAGTGAAAATTAAACATCCTGAATTTTAATGATCGATGTAATTCGAAAAAGCTAAGAAATTGGCACGATATGAAAGTAAAAATCGTCGTTGTGCAGAACATTACAAAGTCAAATGAATTTGTCTAAATGAAATAAGAGACTAATATTTCAAGTAACGATCGTATTGCTATAATTATATCGCGTTAATGTTGCAATTACTTTTATACTTGTGTAACAATGCAAATCACTTTGCGTAGAAGATCCGTGTTGGAGAATTATCGTTAATTTGTCATGATTGGAGAACATTGTTGAGGGGAATCAGGTAATGGAGGCCTAACAGAGGAGAAGCGGGCTACACTCACAGTCCCCCTTTTAGTAAGCAGAGCCAGCAATGAAACGGTACCGAATGCACGATCATTCGCTTGTATTACCAATCCGTTAGTGAGAATGCCGATAATACACCTTCTGATTCCAACTGAGGAACACGTCAAAAAAAACAATTACATTTGCCAGCAATATGCTTGCAGCTTGGCTAAAATTTATAAATCACGAATGCTTGGCCCCAATAGAAATCTCGTCGAATTCCATTCACATGGATTTACACGCTTAATGTGTGAAATCAATCAAAGACACTGATATTTTCTATGATATAGATCTCTCTCACTTCATCTTCTGGAAATTTTAAATTCTCTTTTTAACTTCAGCTTTAATGTTAATTTTATTTGAATATTTTATATAAGTATTAGTCATTTTAAGTTATGTTACTCAAAATTAGTTTTATTTTTTATTGTTTATTTATTTTATTCTGTCCTGGTTTCATTTTATATATCCTCATAATTTTCCTTTGGTATATTCTATATATCCTCGCAATTTTTTTCAGTGTTCAATTTTTAGAAAGATCTAGAAACATTCGACTAAAGAAACTAATTCAACGTTGAAATTTAAAATTGTAAACTTTTCTACATATTTGCAATTAGACTGTGAGTATTTATTTGTGTAAATATTTAATTCGCATTTTTACAAATAAAAAAAAAAAATACGGCGTAGATAAAGAATTATTTTATCAATTAAATATTAT